CTGTTGACTTTCTATGTGTTGGATTACCAATAATGTCCAGCTAATGTAGCTTTTTAGTACAGGAGTTAAATCTCATATCTGGAGAGGATGCAATTTATTATTTTAAAACATGAATAACTGTTCTTAAGACCTAGTCACTTGAGAACAAAATAAACAAAACACTTGTTACTCAGTCACTCCTTTTAGAGAAAAACATTCTTACCTCACATAAAAAAAGTAACATAATTCATAGAAAAATCTATTTCAACACAATGAACAAATGCCACAAAGAAGCCAGCAACAAAGGAACTAAAGAAATGGGGGTATAGCTCAGTGGTAGAGCATTTGACTGCAGATCAAGAGGTCTCTGGTTCAAACCCAGATGCCCCCTTTTCATTAAAAAAAAATATATTTCTCAGGTAGCAAATCCTATTTCTACTCCAAAAATAAACATTTTGCATACTACATATAGCATTGTTAATTCCCTTTAGAGACATGAGTCAGACAGGAGACACCATTGCTCAATTTTAAAAGCTCAGATTCTAAGTAGCCGGCTGAAACGATAGGATGATTTAAATGGCATAATAGGGTTTAACCTTCCACCCCAAGATACATTGTTTTTCAATAATATGTTCAATTTCCTGAAAAATGTATCCATGCTGTCTTTAGGTACCCATCACCTCACTGCAAAGCATTTGATAAGACAGCAAAAAACTCTTTTCTGAAAATTATATTTCAAGAGCACCACAAACGAGATTCAAATCCAGAATTTCAGCCATGCATATCCACTGAATAGCAATCTTGCATGCTAAACTAATCCCTCTCACTCTTCAAAAACCTATTTTTACAAGAAAAATAGACATAAACAATAGAATTAACCAGGTCTAAGGCAGCAAATCAAAATGACTTGGTCTTTTCAGGTTTTAAAAACTGCAATGTAAGTTTTGGAAAATAAAAATTATGTTTCTTACAAGGACAAGGCCTTTATATCTTGCAACTTGGCCTTAAATCAATATATACGGGTTGTGTGAACATAGCCATTTGAAGGACCATGGTTAAACAAAGTACTCTATCTAGGGCAGGGGTCACCAACCTTTCAGACCTCAGGGACCACTACATTCATAATTATAAATCCCGTGGACCACTAATATGATCTGCCTAATGTCCGCTGGGTGGGCGTGGCCAGGTGGTCATGTAACTGGGTGGGTGTGGCGAACTTGATGTCACTTGCGTTGAGGGGCGCCTCGCCGGCCTCTACTCTCCCCTCCCAACCACTCCTTGCCTGCCCGCCTAGGCTCCTTAGGACCCCAACAGGAACTCCGCCTCTTCACCACCAGCAGCACTTCCCTCCAGCCTTCGCCCAAACCCCAGCACCAGGAGGCCGAAGCAGACCCCAAGTTGGAATTTCTGCTCCCCTCCGCCCCACACAAAGACCCTGAAGGGGGAGACTCTCTGCAGCAACACAAACGTTCATTGCACATATTGTCCCAGGGGCCGTAGTTTGAGGACCCCTGATTTAGTGCAATATAAAAAATGCAAAATTTTCTCGCGGACCACCTGTGGTCCATGGACCACAAGCTGATGACCACTGATCTAGGGCATCTGCAATTAGATTTCCCCACTGGATTACAAAGAATGGAATGCTGATTTGCAGATTATTTAGATCACTCCCCCACTTTCAATAGCTCTCCTCAAAGTAGCACACACTATTTGACAGGTGGCGGTGGTCATAAAACACTGGGAAAGGGCCAATTTACTTTCCGCTACAATATTGGGAGGAAGTGTTAGATCTTCCCACTTTCCTGTCTCTCCCTCCCCGCTTCTGCTTTAAGAGAAACAATTGCGGGGGAAGAAGTAATACAATAGATCAAGGTAGGAGAAGATTCTTGGATTTAACAGAAGCCCTCTTGCTAATGCACACAGCAATCTTCAAATCTGTTTTTGCTCAGAGACATTTCACAAATCCTTGACTGGAGCATTTAAGTCCCCAACTCAAATCAACACCCTGACCTATAGTTTATTTAACCATGCTTTACTGTATTAGCCCTATTGCCTGGATCCAGGCTGCAAAGCACTGAACCATAAACAACTGCCTTGATGATTAGGACTCTTTCACATAGACATGTTAATGTCTCTTTCTCTGGTTTTTGAGTCAGAAGAAAGCTATGCAAGCCTAATTTGTACTTCCCTGATAGCCAAGAACAATTTGCCTCAGTAACTAAGCTTACAAGTGAACCTATCCGTATCAATTTACTGTGGGAAAATTTAAGCAACTACTAGGTTCCTGAGGCTTTGTTTTCCCTCTCATCCTAAGTCACCAGCCACTGGGAGAACAAATCACCACCAGTGGGCCTTGAAGTGCTGTGAGATACTGCAGACTTAGGCAAGTGTGAATGAGTGTGTAGGACCAAAACTTTACCCATCTTCTAAGGTGACTGAGTGACAGGTTTCTGGAGCAAAGGTGCTTCACATTGATAACTGTCACACAGGACATTTTTGAACATGGGCTACTGGTCTCCCAAGAGACTAATACATTCCGCATATGTTTGATAAACACCAGTTTGCATACAGAACAAATAGATCTACAGAGGACACTATAGTCATCACTCTTCACACTGCTCTGACTCATCTGGAACAGTGGGGAGGCTATGTGAGGATCCTTTTTGTAGATTTTAGTTCTGCATTTAACACAACTCTTCCACATAACTAGTGTCTAAACTTAAGGACCTTGAGCTTTCTCATTCAATCTGCCTTTGGATTATGGATTTCCTGTCTGGCCGCTCTCAGAGGGTCAGATTAGGTAATCATACTTCCTCGGTCCTTATTCTTAACACTGGTACACCACAGGGTTGTGTGTTGAGTCCCTTACTTTATACTCTTTATGTGCATGACTGCATTCCCAGTAATACTATTACTAAATTTGCAGATGATACTACAGTGGTGGGACTGGTCTCCAAGGAGGATGAGTCTGCCTATTGAGATGAGGTGGACCAGTTGCTTTCCTGGTCCTTAACACCAACAAGACCAAGGAGCTTATGGTGGACTACAGAAGAAATCAATCAGACATCCAGCCCTTGGTTATCAATGGAGACCAAGAGGAGCAAGTGGCCAGTTTTAAATTTTTGGGTGTTACCATAAAAGAGGACTTGACCTGGGGAGCTCACATTGCAGCACTGGTCAAAAGGGCCCAGCAGAGATTATTCTACCTGAGACTTCTCAGGAAACAGCAATTGAATGAAAAATTGCTAGTGATCTTCCACCATGCACTATAGAGAGATTCTTAACTTACTGCACCTATGTATGGTTTGTTAATTGCACAGTGGCAGATAGGACAGCGCTCCAGAGGGTTAACATCATTGCCCAGAGGATCATTGGTTGCCCTCTCCCCTCCTTGGAAGAGCTTTATAGCCCCACTGCCTTAAGAAAGTTCAAAACGTTCTTAAAGATCCATCTCATCCTAGGCACCCTTTTTTTTTGAACTGTTGCCATCTGGCAGACGGTACAGGACAAGAAAAACAAGGACAAATAGGCTGAAAAACAGCGTCTATCCCAGAACAGTAATTATGTTGAATCTTACTGTATAGTGGGGTTTTCAATTCAATTGTGTAGAACGTGAAGGATGTGTGTGTGTTTGTTTTATTTTTTATAGTTTTCTTATGTATGATGTACACTGAAGATGGCATTTAATTTCGTTGTATGAGGTGCAATGACAATAAAGTAAACTTCCTACTTCCATCTGGTAAAAAACCCAGCTCATTTGACAAGTCAGTAAGGCAGACATGGATTGTGGGGTGAATTCATATGTGTCATTGAGAAAGTTCTGCCTCCATCCCAATCCCTGACCCTGCAGGGTTTTTGGACAAACCTTTACTGGGCTCATCTTGTAGAGGAGTAGTTGACAGGTTTACTAGTCTTCCAGTCTCTTGTCTAGGATGGGAAACTGGTAGACCTCTTATCAATTTTTTGTCCAGTTCCCAAATATTCAAATTTATATGTCCTGCTGAAAACTGTAATGCACTAATCTGGGGGGAAATTAGCACTGTCTCTTTGTCCCTGTTTAAATGGACCAGAAGTCATACTTTTTGTCACAGGCAGGTCTTGCAGTTCTGACAAACATTAAATACATGTTCAATAACTGGTCTAGAAGCCTTAAAGCAGTATAGCAACATTTGCAAGAAACCCCTTCGTGTGATGCCTCTTTGGAAACCGGGCTCCTAATTTCTCCAGCAGCTCAAGTCAAATTGGCCCTGGAGAGTAACCTGGAAGTCCACCTCTAGACTCACAGATGGCACCCATGTCTAAGAAGCGTTTTGCACAATTACATCTGGGCCCCCAGTTAGGGCAATTCTAAGACTGCAAGGCCTTCCCTATAGTTTCTTAATCACCTCCCGTTTGGATTGTTGCAACTTGCAGTACATGGGACTTCCCTTGAAGCTTCAATTAGTCCAGAATGCAGAGTCGTGATGGGAGTATCAAAGTTCTTCCATGTAAAATACCTCTACTTTGGGAGCTTGCCGGTTTGCTTCTGGCTGCAAATGAAGATGCTGATTGTCACCTTTAAAGCCTAAGATGAATCAGGACCTGGTCATGGAGAAGATCTCCAGTGGCAGCTGCCCACTCTAAAACTAGCCTCAAAAGCTGCTCCAGCATCCCTAAAGTAGTCCAGCCTGACCATTTACCCATGTCTCAAATACGGTCACCCAGCTCCCAAGCTAGACAGCCCGGTGCCAAGCACCCCGTTTCTCTCCTTCCGGCCCTTTCACACTGAGCTCCTCTGGAGTTCCTTGGAGGAAGATAATTTATCCTACAATCCCAGCCCTGTATTGTTCCCACGTCTTCCTGCCCGATTTCTATCCTCTGTTTCCACCACGCATTCTGACGTCACTCAAGGGTTCCACGGAGTCCCTCTTGTCCCCATCTGGAGAGTTTTCCAGTTGAGAGGGAGGAGCTCGGCGGGGGTGGACCTAGCTTCTGACGCGGCACCTGCGGAGCCTATAAAGAGGGGCGGGGGCGAAGGCGTTTGCTTATGAAGCTGTGAAGCTCGGGATGGGTCAGTTTTTTGCTAAACTCCTGAATATTTTTGGAAGTCGCGGTAAGATGCCTTTGAGCGCGGCGCGGCCGCATTTCCTCCCTTTTTATGACACAATTCCCGGAATGCTAAGTGTGTATGTCAATCAGATCGTGTTTACCTTTTAGGTTGTTGTCCACCAACTTTCCCCTAGTTTTTTCCTCCTGTCTTTCTTTCTCTTTAAATCCCAGTTTTACTTTGTTTCTAATTTTGCACGGACCATGCCTTCGCGCATTGCATCCTTCTCTCGCCTTCCTTTTGTTTCTCATTTGCTTCACATTTTTAAAATTCATTTATTGCCTTTCTTTTCATATGCAATTCCTTTTTTCATTCTGTTTTTCTTCCTTTTACTTTGCCCCGGCAGCATTTTCATTTGATTTCCAATCTTCTTTTATTAACTTTTCCTCCCCCCATTTTTCTTTCTCTCCCTTCCTCTCTTTTTACATCTTTTTCTTTTTTGTTCACTCTTGTGTTTCTAAACTTAACAATTTTCTACTTGTCCCTGTCCCCTTTCTACTTTTATTGTTCTATTTGGAATTATGCTTTCTTTGCTTTTTGTGATTTCACTCCCTATTTTTCTCTATTATTTTTCTGTTTCTATTTTCTTTTTCGTTCTCTCTCTTAGTTTCCTTTTTCTTTCAAGAATCTTAGTACCATGTTCTAGGATTAAATTTGGGTTGTGGAGCCATGACCTTTTCAACATATCAACTAGTAGCTGGTGAGGAAAGCTTTTGTACAGCTAACCAGAATTTGCAGTTGTGCCAGCACTCAGCCTGTAGCATGTAGCATTTGAGTGCATATGTGCTTTAGAATGACAGGGAAGAGAGACATGCGTGTTGAGCAGGACTGAAAAAATGAGAGAAGTAAAACTGACTGTTAATGAAAGTCTTTTGGAGACTTTCAGTTGTGAATTCTAATGCTTCTTTTACTACAGAGTCTGTAATATGATATTTGTGTTTTAATTTTTAATGATCTTGCATTTTTTCTTCTTTTTTCACTTATGAATCATTGAGATGTATTTTGTGTTGGGGGGACTGCACTAAGGGAGGCTCATCCAACATTGTACACATGTGCATTGACAATAAAAGTTTGAATTTGAATAGGGCATCAAAGATGATGTAAAACGTCAGTCTAGAAAGTGTCTTCTGTGTGCACTTGCTTGGTGAATTAAGTGAACTGTCATTATTAGTTATTTCAGGGAGTGCTAATAAAGACAAAAGGCCATGCCTGGATATCTGATGTTGAAGGGCTTCTTGTGGCAAGTGGTATGTGCTTGGGTGTGAGAACAAATGAACAAGGGGGGATGTGTGCGCATAGGAGTGGGAGAGTGGTGGAAAAGTTAGGTTGTAAAGCAGCAATGGATGAGAACAAAACGTTAAAAGCAGAGGAAATTAAAGCGGACAATAGCAGAAATTAAACTGCTATATTTAAAGGAATCGGCTAAGAGATAAATCTTTGAATCCTTATGGGTGACATATTTTTTGTTTCCAGTTTCTTCTATATACTGGTATATGAGACAATAACAATTTAGTCAGAAGAAAGTTTTCTGAAATTTGCCTCTTCCATTGTTCTCTGGGAGTCTGGGAGTTTTTGAGTGGGTGGGAGTATTGGGGGTGTTTTCATGGAAACTTCTGTCTTTCTTTGGCATGGTTTGTTTGCTTAGGCAAATGTTTGGCTAGAAGAATAGTTTCCATCTTTTGTACTTCCACTCTTATATGTTGGCATGGCCTTTCCCCTCCCTTTTCTAAGCAAAATGCTTTACATTCCTTAAAGCCTGGAACTATAATGTCCTATGGGTATGCACTATGCAGCCTCCTAGTTTATTGCCAGTTTTGGATTAACTTTTGCTCCTCAGCCTGCATGTTCAGAAGATGCTTACATATATAAACATGATTGTATATAAACATATATAAACATACATGTCTGCATGTTCAAAAAGGAACCCCTAATATATATTTCAGCAATGTTATATATCCTGATTTCACACTCCTAAATATTATTGAAATATATATTAGGGGTTCCTTTTTGGTATTGGAGTTTTGCCTCTAGAAAGGGAGAAAGTCACATGAATACAATATGTACATATGTACAATATCTTGTACATTTGACATGTACAACATTGGTTCTCAATCATGTTTTCATGATAAGAAGTAAATACAGTGAAAGTTGTCAGTATATGAGGGTCCTGCTGGACTCCCCCTTTCTTCTTTGCCCTATGCTTTGCCCTATGCTTTCAACATACCAAAATACACAGGATGGCCTGCAAACATCCAGGCAATCACTAGGTGCCAGGCTAGATCTAGAGTTTTCTGCATTTTGATGGTGCAATATGAACCACATTGTTTAAATTTGTGCACGCTAGGCATGACATCAGTGGTGGGTTGCCCCTAGTTCGGACTGGTTCTATAGAACCGGTAGTAAAACAGGTGGGAGGCTCAGCCCACTGACCCTGATGTCATGAGAAGTGATCTGCACATGTGCAGAAGCAAGGCGTATGAGCAAAGCAAGTGCATGTGCGCGATCCCATTGTGAACCGGTAGTAAAGGTAAGTAGAACCCACCCCTGCATGGCATCCCATGCCTGTGTTCCCAATAAAAACTGTAGCTATAGACTGGGGAGGGAGAGAAAGGAGAAGAAATGAGGAGGGGGAGAGAGAGAGGAAGGAGGAAGGAAGGAAGGAAGGAAGGAAGGAAGGAAGGAAGGAAGGAAGGAAGGAAGGAAGGAAAGGAAGGAAGGAAGGAAAGGAAGGAAGGAAGGAAGGAAGGAAGGAAGGAAGGAAGTCCAGAGTGTGATGGGTCCTTATTTACCATCCAGCAGTGATGCTTGGTGGGCAAGGAAATGAAGTTCAGGGAATCAAGGGGAGAGAGAGAGGAAGGGAGGAAAGAGGAAGGAAGGAAAGAAGGAAGGAAGGAAGGAAGGAAGGAAGGAAGGAAGGAAGGAAGTCAAGAGTGTGATGGGGCCTTATTTACCGTCCAGCAGTGATGCTTGGTGGGCAAGGAAATGAAGTTCAGGGAATCAGGGGAGAGAGAGAGGAAGGGAGGAAAGAGGAAGGAAGGAAGGAAGGAAGGAAGGAAGGAAGTCAAGAGTGTGATGGGTCCTTATTTACCGTCCAGCAGTGATGCTTGGTGGGCAAGGAAATGAAGTTCAGGAATCAGGGGAGAGAGAGAGGAAGGGAGGAAAGAGGAAGGAAGGAAGGAAAGAAGGAAGAAAGGAAGGAAGGAAGGGAGGAAAGAAGGAAGAAAGGAAGGAAGGAAGTAAGTCAAGAGTGTGATGGGTCCTTATTTACGTCCAGCAGTGATGCTTGGTGGGCAAGGAAATGAAGTTCAGGGAATCCACCAATAGGTTTAATTGTTTTGTCACATATTACAACAGTCAGGACAATGGACCAGGCATATTACTTAAGTGGAGGGATTGGAAAATATTATATTAGCATGTTGGGCAATGTTGTGCTTCAGCTTTAATGACCATGGTATACGCCAGGGGTTCCCAACCCCCTCCCCCCGATCCATGGACTGATCTGTGGCATGCCACCAACCGGTCCATGCAAACAAGCAAAGCCCCATCCATGGGATGCAGTCAATACACAAAACGACGCCTCTCTAGTCGACGGAAAGACCTCTCTCCACAGAACCAGTCCTTGATGCCAAAAGGTTGGGGGCTGCTGGTCTAGGCTACAGATGTCCTGGCATTTTGCCTGCAACTGTGCATCTTCAAAGGCAACATAATGAGCAAGGATTGACTGAGCACCTGTCTATATAGGTAGCTGACCTGCTTGGGTCTTTAGCTGAATTGATTTCTGATTGATGAGGGATCGCTAAACTCTGAAGCTCAGTACTGCCCAACAGATACTGGCCATGGAAGCCTACATATTGTGCCAGTGTGTATTTCTGTCACACACAGCCTGGTGAAGAAAACTTTCATATGGACAACTGGTTATGACCTAAGATAGAAAGATTTTCAGAAAGCCAAAGTGGAAGCAATCTGAGAGGAGAGGATGAAAGTGCCATATGTAGGGATGATACAGTAGTCCTCAACTTATGTCCACAATTGAGCCCAAAATTTTGCAAGTTGCAGAATGAGAAATTTGCTCAGGGAATTTTGCCCCATTTTACAACTTTTCTTGCCACATTTGTTAAGTGAATCATTGCAGTTGTGAAATTAGTAATACGGTTGTTAAGTGAATCTGGTTTCCCCATTGACTTTCCTTGTCAAAAGGTTGCACAAGGGGATCACCTGACCATAGGATACTGCAGTCATCGTAAATGTGAGTCAGTTGTCAAGCATCCAAATGTAAATCATGTAACCACTGGGATGCTGCCATGGTCATAAGTGTGAAAAATTGTCATAAGTCGCCTTTTTCAGTGCTGTGGTAACTTTGAATGGTCACTAAATGAATTGTTGTAAGTCAAGGACTGCCTGTAGTCCACTTGAATGCCCCTTCTGCCTGCTGCATGCAGAATGAAAAATCAGGTTTCAACTACAAGTAGGCTATTCCAAATACTGTCCCTTGTGGATTCTGATGTGACTGAGCTTGCATATTTAACACTGCAATATGTAGGCATTCCTTCATTACTTCCAAGATTTTCTCATTACGTATCAGTCTAGAACAGTGATGGCTAACCTTTTCCGGACCGCGTGCCCAAAGTGTGTGTGTGTGCACAAATGCACGTGCATGTGCCCAAACCCCCAAAATGCAATGCGCCCACTGCCCCCATGCATGCACCCTGCCCCTGAGCATGAACAGGGGCCCCTGCACATGCCCCACCCCCACGCATGTGTGGCAGAGACCCGAAGACCAGCTGGCCAGTGGGAGGCACATGCGCATGCGTGGCAGAGCTGAACTGGGGCGACGGCTCGCGTGCCATCAGAGAAGGTGCAGCGTGCTACCTCTGGCACGCGTGCCATAGGTTCGCCATCATGGGTCTAGAATATAGCACCAAACTTCTGCGTTTCCCTATGCATTCATATATTATAAAAATGCCGAAAGTTTGGCAGATTTCCATAAAGAAATGATCATCCTTAAA